GACCCTGGGGTCACGACCTGAGCTGAAGGCAGCTGAGCCCCCCTGCGCCCCCCGGTTGGCGTTTCCATCGTGAGCTCTGCTGCCCTACGCAGTCTACGATGTTGGTTGGACTGTGCGGTGTATTTTCCGGGCCGGCTTAGCTGAAGAGGATGGGGTGGGAAGAAGTGGGCTCATCGGCGGGGGGCAAAGGCCCGAGGGGCAAGGGCAGGGCCTGACTCTAGGGGCCTTGGGCTAGAGCTGCCTGTGCCCCTGCACCTTTCTCCGCAGCCAGCCGATGCCTGGAGGTGACAATGCCTCACGTTGAAAGAAGGTTGACAAGGTGTCTTGTGCTTGTTTTGAGGCGGGTCACCCGGTAAGACGCCTCGGTCCGGGAGTTGGCTTGTGAGGCTCGCTCGCGTTTCCACCCCGTTGCCTTGAGAAGCGCACCTGCGACTGCCATTTACTGTCAGATGAAAACGTGGCCCACAAAGGGGGCCCGCGACGCTCTGATGTCTGTTGCGTTTTAAACGTTTTATTTTGATGTCATTTTTTTTTTTTTTGATGCCTTTTAAAGAGAAGGTTTACTCCTGTTTATTCAGATTTGCCCAGACCCTGAGGCCGTCTCGATTTAAAGTTGCTCACCTGGGGAAGCTGCGGTGCTGACCATCCGACTACCGTTTTGCACACTGCAGACCTATTCTGGCCTGCAGGCACCTGGCGGCTTAAGAAGAATGTGTGTATTTTTATGGGACGCAATATATATACACTTTTGACATTTAGAACTCTCGGGATCTCTGGGTGGCTCAGCGGTTAGCTCCTGCCCTTGGCCCAGGGCGTGATCCTGGAGATCTGGGATCGAGTCCCACATCGGGCTCCCTGCATGGAGCCTGCTTCTCCCTCTACCTGTGTCTCTGCCTCTGTCTCTCATGAATAAATAAATAAAATATTTAAAAAAAAAACTCTCTCTACTGGGCGCCTGGGAGGCTCAGTCAGTTAAGCATCTGCCTTCAGCTCAGGTCATGATCCCAGGGTCTGGGGATCAAGCGCCACGTAGGGCTCCCTGCTCAGCAGGGAGTCTGCTTCTCCCTCTGCCCCTCACCCCACTTGCACACACACTCTCTCTCAAGTAAATGAATCAGATTTTAAAAACCACAACTCTCTCTACCATTAGTGGAATAATAGACACACAAGTGCTTTCAAATGGGGAAAAAGGGGATTTTATTAAAATGATAGTTATTGTCATTACTAATCTGAATCCTTTTCCGTTTTTATTATACTTCTATCTCGCTTTTGAATAGCCAGTTTCAAAAATTCAACTTCAGAGGGTAAGTTGAAAACAAAAGTTCTTGGCCACGCCCTTGCCCTCTCCCTGGCCTGCTATCAGCCCCACTCTGAGTAGGGAAGGGAGACAAGGTGGGCTCTTCTGCGGGGCATGTGGGCCCTCAGGTCAGCACAGGCTCAGAGCTGCCAGAGAAGGCCCCTGAAAAGACAGGGACAAGCCAAAACATGAGTGGAGATGTATGTTTGTGATAAATTAGAGGGCAGAGAGCAGGGGAAGGAGATGTGGGCTGGTATCCCAGGGGCTAATGTACCTTCACTGTGAGCAGCAGGAGGAAGGGGGAGGGGGTATAATCAGAAGTTACCATCACCAGCCTCTGGGGGAGCAGAGAGCAAGAATTTGTTTTATTTTGGGGAAGTGTTCTTGTGACAGGAGGCCAAGGAAGGAGGTAATCTCCTGAGGTCTCTGAAGTGGTGTCTGAGGGGAACAAATTGTGGGTTGGATTTTCTGGGGTCAGCAAAGTCCCTCACTAGGTCTCCTAAGCCCTGCTTGCTCCTGATCTTATTTTACCTTGAAAGAGACTCAATCCTGCCCCCTCCATCCTGGACAATCTAACAGGTTCAAGCACTGAGAATTGAGTGTTGCTGCTTGAGCTGCTGATGCTGGGCAGTCCCAACCTCTTGCCAACCTCCCTTCTGCCCTTATTGATATAATCCTGCACTTTTTTTCTTATCTAGTTTTTAACGTGATGGATTACATTAGTAGATTCTCTAAAGTTGATCCACTCTTGGATTCCTGGTTTCAATCTATGTAAGCATTGGGGTTTTTTTGGTTTTGTTTTGTTTATCTCATGTTTGTTTTTTTTTTCTCCAGCACAATGTATTTCCTTGCTATTTGAATGTTTGGTCTAGGACTCAGCCTAAATTTTTTTCTAATATCTGTTAACTGGCTACATAGCCAATATGCCTGTGGTCTTAGTGATACACCAACATAGAGAAGATCTTTGCTTGATAAGAGATAATCGCATTCACAGTTACTAAAGTCCAGGATGCCCAGTTAAATTTGAATACCAGATAAACAACAAATATTTTTTTAGTATAAATGTGTCCCATGCAATATTTGTGTGGCCTCTATTTACATTGAATTGTATGAGAGGTATTTACATTAAAAAAAAAGTTTTGTTTGAAATTTACATTTAACTGGATATTTTTATCTGCTAAATCTAGTCATCTTAACCAGAAATAAACATAATGCTTAAAAAAATACATGAATTTTTAAATTAATATTTTTGTCACTGGAAGACAAAAACATATGTCAGGAAACCCGAGTAACCACTGGGGCTCCTATTTCTGAAAACTACAATGGAGTAGGGAGGCAGGAAACAATAAAGGTGGTTTTATTCATATACAACAAAGACACATAGAAGAAAAATTCAAATTTCAAAAACAAACTAGATTGGATGGTTCTGTTCAAGGAAAAGAAACCAAAACACCACCACCAACTGGACCCTGTTCCAGTAGATAACTTTCCTTTCAAACCATCTTCTTTAATTAATCAGAAAAGGTTTCTGTGTTGTCCTCCCCCACTCCCACCCCCCAGGCAGATTTTTCTATTCACTTTACATTACAGAAATTTTATTTCTTTTTTGAGTTTTCAAATCCGCTCTTACTGGCTTGAAATTTATCATCTATGGAATTTGTATTCTTTTGTCTTCCTTTCAAAAGTCTCTCTAAAATGTTTGTGACTACCTGGACTTTCCGCAAATTGTCATGCTGCTCAGTGCATCTTTTCTGGGTCTAAACTCCATCCCTAGTTTGAGAGGAAGATAGATAAGAATACTTTCTCAGTGGGGCACCTGGGTGGCTCAATGGTTGCGTGTCTGCCTTTGGCCCAGGTCATGATCCTGGGATCCTGGGATCATGTGAGCATTAGGCTCCCCTCAGGAAGCCTGCTTCTCCCTCTGCCTATATCTCTCTCTGAGTGTCTCTCATGAATAAATAAGGAAAAGCTTAAAAAAAAAAAAGAATACTTTCTCAATACTACTCATAGACGTGGCTACATAGTATTCTCCACAGGAAGGGAAGCAATAACTGTTGCCTGTTTTAGTTCCAGAAGACAGAAATAAACTATTTATACATAAAAAAGATTCAAGATAGTTAACATTTTGGAATAAGATAAAACAGCGTTAACTAAAAAAAATCATATTATCCAAGTATTACCACAGTTTCATTTTATTATTTGGATGATTATGATTTTGTCACAAATACATGTAAATCTTGGATAAATTTCATGTCATTCTTCAGTCATTGAGTCGTGTGTCTATTATGTACCAGGCACCTATTCTAGGTCCTGGGATATACAGGTGAACGAGACCAGGTGTATGTCTCCCTGGGAAGACACTGGCAAGTAGGGACGATGGCACATAAATCAGAAACTATAATAGGGTTTACTAGGAGCCATTTGTTTGTGTACAAGGACATGACATGGGAGAGGAAGGCATTCATTTACCTGGAGGTGGAAGATTCAGGAAATTTTCACAGAGGAGGAGATTTTTAAATTGAATCTCAGGAGTTCATCAAGCAAAGGTATCAGGGAAAGACATTATAGTCGAAGTACATAGAAAGCCTCAGAGCTTGGCACATTCAGGCAGTTGTACCATTGGGCATGTGGCGGGAAGGGTGAAGCAGGAAAGGACCTCAGGACTCCTCACAAGGGGCCTTGTAATGATGTCAAGGGGTTTGTCCATCTACCTCAAGGAAACGAAATCCCACTGAAGGGGGAAGCGCAGGGGGAAATGATTACTTTTGGTTATAGGGCTAGTGCTCTGGATGTTACATGAAATTGGGTTGGAGAGGAGACTAAAGGCAGGGAGATGGGTCAAGAAGTCAATGAAGTAACTAGGTGAGAGCTAACAAGGGCCTACACTCACGGGGGCTGAGGAGCTCCCTCCTGGACATGCTGAGCCTAAGGCCCCCTCCTGCGTGGCCAAGGAGAGCTGGCGGTGAGAATACAGGTCTAGAGCTGGGCAGCTGGGCCTGGAGGGAGGTGGTTTTTTGGGAATCGGCATGGGTGCCGTGGCCCAGGAATGGTGTAAGGAATAAGAAATAACAGATGGATATTACTGTGAAATGAGCAGGTGGAAGAGAAAGACTCCTCATCAAAGACGGGAAGGGAACAATCGGTGTCGTAGGAGATCAAGGAGGAAATGGCACTAAAAGACCCGAGGAAGAAAAGCGTTTCTATAATTGATTAAGTATGTTAACCGATGCAGAGGAAAACATGTCATACAGACAGAAATGGGTCCCTTGGGGTTAGCTATTAGAAGGCACTGGTGGCCCGGATGGAGCCATTTGAGTCCTGTGCTTGATACAGTAGCCGGATCGCAGTGGGTTGAGATGAAGGCATCTCGACTGTCTTTCAAAGAGATTGGGAATTACAGAAGGGAAATGTGGAGGAAAGCTTGAGAACTCAGAGGCACTCTCATAATTTTTCATCATGAATGTCTGCCTACCTAAAAGAATAGAGTAACGTAGCAGATAACTGAATATCTACCAATTATCTTACACTTTTCCATATTGGCCAGAAGATGGGTTGGTAAACTTTTTCTTAAAGAGCAGAGAATAAATATTTTAGATCCAAAAGGCAAAACACAGGCTATTATACAAACGTTTATTTAACCACTGATATATGTAAAAACCATTCCAAGCTCACAGATCAGAAAAAAAAAAAAAAAGACACTCACAGAATTGGGCCAGTAGGTCTTCATTTGTTGATTCCAGGACCAGCATGTTTTCTTCTGAAAGAAACACATCACAGATGCAATTAAAGCCCTCCTTGTACTCCTCCCAGTCTCATTCCCCTCCCTCCCTCTCTAAAGGTAACTGGTATCCTAAAGTTAACTTGTATCAGTCGCAACTTTTCAAATATGCCTATATCCGTAAGCAATACAAGCATAATTTGGAATGTTTTTAAAAACTTCAAATAAATGTAATCATTCCGTGGATAATCTTCAATTGGTTCTCTTGGCCAACACTACATTTGACATTGAGTCATCTTCATACATTTGGGTCTATCTAGTTCCTTAATTTTACCTGTTGTATGATATCTCATCTTGGGACTGTATTAAAATTCATGTATTTCTCTTCTGCTCATTTAAGTTGTGTCTATTTTTTCCATCTTTACAAACACTGCTAAAATTAATATTCTTGGCCATGACTCTGCTGCACACTTGTTTTTGATCTGGGGTATATACCTAGGATTAAATTATTGGGATTGTAGGGTATAAACATATCCAGCTAAGTATTTCCAAATTGTTCTCCAGACTGATTATATAGAAAAATTTCCTTTTCGAGTAATCTGGTATAGTTGGTAACCTGAAAAATTCTCCCAATATACAACACCTAGAGCTACTGAATGAAGTGTAAGAGGCAACTTTTTACATTGATAAAGAAATCTCAAAAAAGCAAGGAAATCCCAAGGACATAAAATGTTTATTAAAAAAAAAAAGAAAAGAAAAGAAAGAAAAAGATGGTACAAGAAATTTAAACTCAGAGACAAATTTACCTATGTGGATTTCCTAGAATAGAGGTTTGGGCCTGTAGGGACATAGGAGGCTATATAATGCTCTCAGGGTGCTCCTGTCCATCTCTTAGGCTAAATGTTAAAGCTAAAACATTAGGCCATGGGAAGGCAAGAGAAACAAAAGCAAAAATGAACTACTGGGACTTCATCAAGATAAAAAGCTTCTGCACAGCAAAGGATACAGTCAACAAAACTAAAGGACAACCTACAGGATGGGAGAAGATATTTGCAAATGACGTATCAGATAAAGGACTAGTATCCAAGATCTATAAAGAACTTATTAAACTCAACAGCAAAGAAACAAACAATCCAATCATGAAATGGGCAAAAGACATGAACAGAAATCTCACAGAGGAAGACCTAGACATGGCCAACATGCACATGAGAAAATGCTCCGCATCACTGGCCATCAGGGAAATACAAATCAAAACCACAATGAGATCCCACCTCACACCAGTGAGAATGGGGAACATTAACAAGGCAGAAAACGACAAATGTTGGAGAGGATGTGGAGAAAGGGGAACCCTCTTGCACTGTTGGTGGGAATGTGAACTGGTGCAGCCATTCTGGAAAACTGTGTGGAGGTTCCTCAAAGAGATAAAAATAGATCTGCCCTACGACCCAGCAATTGCACTGCTGGGGATTTACCCCAAAGACACAGATGCAGTGAAATGCTGGGACACCTGCACCCCAATGTTTCTAGCAGCAATGTCCACAATAGCCAAACTGTGGAAGGAGCCTCGGTGTCCATCGAAAGATGAATGAATAAAGAAGATGTGGTCTATGTACACATGGAATATTCCTCAGCCATTAGAAACGACAAATACCCACCATTTGCTTCGACGTGGATAGAACTGGAGGGTATTATGCTGAGTGAAATAAGTCAATCGGAGAAGGACAAAAATTATATGGTCTCATTCATTTGGGGAATATAAAAAGTAGTGAAAGGGAATAAAGGGGAAAGGAAAAAAATGTGTGGGAAATATCAGTGAGGGAGACAGAACATGAGAGACTCCTAACTCTGGGAAACGAACTAGGGGTGGTAGAAAGGGAGGAGGGCAGGGGGTGGAGGTGACTGGGTGATGGGCACTGAGGGGGGCACTTGATGGGATGAGCACTGGGTGTTATTCTATATGTTGGCAAATTTAACACCAATAGTAAATAAATAAATACATACATACATACATACATACATACATACATACAAGGCCATGGGAGAAAGAGAAGGAAGGAAGGAAGGAAGGAAGGAAGGAAGGAAGGAAGGAAGGAAGGAAGGAAGGAAAGAAGGAAGGGAGAAAAGAAGGAAGGAAAGAAGAGAGAGAGAAGAAAAGAAAAGAGAGGAAGGAAAGAAAAGAAAAGAAGAGAAAAAGAAAATAAGAAAGGAGGAAGAAGAAGGAAGGAAGAGAGGAAGGAAAGGAGGGAGTAATGATTTTAACAAAGTTCTAGTCAGAGTCAGGTGTGCCACCCCCAGGCTGATCTCACCATCATCCTGATGCCACGGACCCTGGCCCCCCTTCCGATTTTCAACTTGATTTTCTCTACTTCTTTCTCCTTGGCAATAACTTTGGCTTTCTTGTTGACCTGCTGCTGGTTGATGCCTCCACAGCAGACTCTGCTTTGTTGGCTTGTACCTTTCATGAGGTTTTGGCACCTGCTCATACAACTCTTGCAGTCTGACCCCTGAGGCCTGCTCAGCCTGTCCCCTCTCCATCCCAAGGCAGGGCTGTAAGCCTGAGGTCCAAGCACTGGCTTTCCTCGAGCCTGGCCCATCCCTGCCTCCATATCTTCCAAATACTATTCTGCGGTGACAGGACTAGATCGTATTTGGAAAGTGTTTACAGTAACCTGGTGCTGGAATCAGAGAATCTGGGTTTCGGTCAAATGGAGTGAAGTCACCTTCTGGGTGCCAGATTGGGTCCTCAGAGCCCCCAAGATTTCTTTCACAAATGGGAATCAACAGATACAACGAGCAACAAGATTAGATCTACATACATGGCAGATCAAAGTTATCAGAAAATACTATTCCATAAAAGAAGGAATAACTAACAAGAAAAAATAAAAGCAAGACACAACATTTTTTATTCTGGAAATGAAAAAAATTTTCTAGAGTGAAAAATATGACTGAAGTTAAAAGCCCAATGAATAGGTTAAGCAGCAGGATGGGCTAGGGACTGCACCAACCCTCCCACCAGTGGTGCAGAGTTCCTATTTCTCCACATCTTTGCCAACATCAGAGGGCGGTGCAAACTATACACAGGTAGGCAAATTGCGTGTCGTATTGTTTCTTTGCCCAGTTGGGCCCATCCCAGCCAAGACCCAGCCGTCTTCTGGTTTCTTGGATCAGGCTTTCAGACGCGGAGGGACTTTAAGCCCCAATAAATCCCTTTCTGCCTGTTTTTGTTGTTGTTGTTGTTTGGTTTCTGAAGGCTATTTGGTCCTTGGGGTCAGTTCTCCGCAGGACTCTCCCATAAAGAATGACACAAGGCTGTGCTTTCTCTCCCTGGTTTCCACACCCTGAAGCCTCTTCCCTGTGACTTCATCATTCCGCTTTTCCTGCTTCTGGTCTTAACTGTGCTAATCCCCAGATGCCCTGTTGCTCACTCTGCACCTTGCAGCCCTTCCCTTTCCCCCTAAAGGCCAGAGTTAACCCCAGCTCTCTCCAACCCTTTTCCTGTAGGCCAGTCTCTGACCCGACCAGATACAGCTCCTTTATTAATATGCAATAACCTTAGACCTTAGACTCCAACTAAGAATGCATGGGATACATCTATAGTTGCAAGGGTACCAGAGACATATTTTTCTTTTCTTTTTTTTTTTTAAGATTGTATTTATTTCTTCATGAGAGATACAGATAGAGAGAGAGAGAGAGAGGCAGAGACACAGGCAGAGGAAGAAGCAGGCTCCATGCAGGGAGCCCGACGTGGGACTCGATCCCAGGACTCCAGGATCAGGCCCTGGGCCGAAGGCAGTGCTAAACCGCTGAGCCACCAGGGCTGCCCGAGACATATTTTTCTAAACCTGAAACTAGACACATATCTCAGCAGAGCCCAGAAACCCAGAGGCATTATAGTATATGTTGGAGCATGGATTCCTGCGGCTGAATCTTGCTTAGATCTACTAGTTAGCCCTGTGACCTGAGTAAGTCTGTGCCTCCATTTTTTCATACAGTCAGTAGGATGGATTCTACTACCAAACATCTCCAAGATATTTTTTGAAAAATTCAAGGAAATAGGAGTTTGACACCTATCAACTAACTCATATCCTGAAGTCTTAGACATCATTAGCTCATTTTAAATTAATTTTAATTTTAATTGAATTTAAATTAATTTAAAAATATATAATCAGGTACGCCTGGGTGGCTCAGTGGTTGAGCGTCTGCCATCGGCTCAGAGTGTGATCCTGGAGTCCCAGGATCGATTCCCACATCAGGCTCCCTGCAGGGAGCCTGCTTCTCCCTCTGCCTGTGTCTCTACCTCTCTCTCTGTGTCTCTCATGAATAAATAAATAAAATTATTTTAAAAATAAAAATACATAATCTTTCATTTATATGAGATCACCCCTTAGCTTTGATTATATAGCTTTTTATGAATGGGATTTGGGGAGCACTTTCTGACATTAGAAATCCAGACAGGGCTCAGTAAGTGTGCTGGATTGTCTAGATAAACCCAGCTTCTCATCTCTGACTTCTCTGCCATTCTAGCACTATCTGCTTTCAGGAGCTCATTGATTTTTAGCGATTGGCCTCAAATCCATTCTAGAATGATTTTAGCATTTATCAGGAATTATGGAGGTCTTTATTTATGCTGATCCCAACTGGGTTTTGGGAAGTCAAGGATGAGCTACCGAGGAACCTTCCTGGCAGCGCTTACAGCCTGGTGGGAGACAGGGAGACATGCACAATTAGGATTCAACATGATCGGCTGCATTTACAGAAGCCTCGTTTGATGTGGATATGACACAGGCAAAGTGACCAGCCAAGGAGAGATGAGAAGAGACGTCAAGGAGGAGGTAGGGGTCTGGGGCTTCAGGGTTCTAAAAAAGAGAAGTTGTTCACTTTTGACAAGAACCACAGAGGCCTGGAGCACACGCTCCATTCGGTATGACTGGCTGGGAGCGGGAGGGCACATGGAGGAGATGCCATGGGAAGGAGGTTGACCAGAGTCTAAGGGGCAAAAATGAGGCGGAGCCAAAGGTCTTACTGGGGAAGAGCCCAGTAAGGGCTCAGATCAGATATCGGTATTATAAAGAAAATTTTTACTGAGTCTTCAGATGATCCTTTTGCATCTCCCAGATGGCAGACACTTCGACTCAGAAACGTCAAGAAAATAGTCAGAAGCTCAAGAAAATACTCAGGCAAGCTTACACATTACTTTCAGAACCTGTTTGAGGCGCCTGTGGTAGCCTTGAGACTCACAAGAGGTGGAAGTGGGATGGCTGGGCTCTGCTTCCTGAGATGCCAAGGACACCCTGCAGGGAAAGGAGTGTGGCCCAGAGGGCTCTCACTGGAGCAGAGGAGGGAACCCCGGGGTCCCAGGCAGGACAGCTGACCGGTCCTGGGGCTTGGACATCTGACCTCCCCCTGCCCCAGCTTCTGCACCTGTGCCACAGGGCAGCTTGAGCTGCGTTGTCTTCATGCTCGCTCCCAGCCCCCAAACTGTGCCTAAGACTACACATTGCCCCCCACCCCACCACCCCCCTGCTCGTCTTCATCACCACCTCCCATTTCAATCAGACATCTTTCCAGATGGAATGGTTCGCCTTTCACTTTTCATTTTCCACCTCCGACGACGTGGAGAGCACCCAGGGCAAGAGATCGGTGGGGCAATGTGGGTTGGGCACTTACGGTGAATCTCCAGGAAATTGCCACACTGTGGCTGGGTCAGTGCGGGTGCCCGCAAGCCCCCCTCCCCGGTCCTCCTTAAAGAACTGTAGCTTGAGAACTTTCCTTTTGCTTGAAATACTGACCTAAGCTAGAGGCAGGTAGAAACTGTTGCCCGAAATCATGGGCAACGAGTTTATTTACCCAAGGGCATGTCAACAGCGCTACAGGAGGCAATCAGGCCATCGAGGGTGATTGTGCTGCTTGTAGCAACTGCCCGGGGTATAAAGCAATTGCTGCTCTTAGCTCAAAACCATGATATTTAATATTTTGTCTTCTCCAATACCTTTGATTTGCCACAATCGCATCACTTTCTGAAATAAAGGTTCATTAGTAACAACAATCCATGCAAAGAACATATGCCCCGAAGTAACAAGATCAAAGAAAAATAGATGAAAGACGTCTCTTGATAAGTTAGAATGGATGCCGGGTAACTCCTCCGATAATTTCCTGTTTACTGGTGTTTTTTTTTTTTTACGGTTTTTAGTACACTTTCCAGTAGTACATCTCCATACCCCAGTTTTTCCAGGAGGCTTTGGAACTCGCTGATGTCCCAGCCCGCGCTCTTAGACGTAAACTCCTCACTTCTGATTGAAATGTTCTTTTTACACCGACTGCCAACAAGTTTGTGGCTCTCTAAAGGCGCCTGCTAAAGCCGGTCAGCTACAGGGACCCCAACTTGCTAGGAGAGCGATACTGCGGGGAGTTACGGGGAGTGACAGCTGCTGGGGGGAGCCCCCCGCCCGCGCCCCCGCCCCCTCCCCCGCACCCCCCACCGCAATTCCGATTTCCTCCCCTTCTTTCGCAGAAGGGCCGGGGGTGCGGGCGCGGGCTGTGTCCCTCCCGGCCGAGCTGCGCAGCCCGCCCTCCGCCCCCCTGGTTCCCCCCCCCCCCGACCCCCCGACCCTCCCCCCCCACCCCCCAGGCCGCGGCTTACCCTGGGCCGGGCTGCGGGGCAGCAGCGCGGTCAGCAGCGCGCACACGAGGGCAGCCCCCCGGGCCCTCCGCTCCGCGCGCCCCGGCATCGTGCGGCGCCGGGCTTCAGCCTCCCTGAAACCCCAACATTTCCTGTTTCCTGCTTGTTTGGGTCGGTGCTAACTTGAAGGAGAAGTGTTTGCCTGTTTTTTAGGAAGTGATGTAATTCTGCAGGAGCCTGTCAGACCAGCAAGGATTGCAAAAGAGAAGTGGCTCTGCAAGCGCGGATGCAGGGAGCAAGGTCTCTCCAGCCCTTTGCTGCGGAAACTGTCTCCTGGAAAGGGCGCCCAGGGCCCCCTTGTGCTTCGGGATCCGGGATCGGGGGGGGGGGGGGGGGGGGGGGGGGGGCTGAGGATCCTGGACCGCAGGCATTCTCCATTCGTGATGTTGCTCAACCCCAGGTGAGTCTCTGGGGCTGCCCAGGGACCAGAGCGGCGCTCTCCACTAGAACTTTCTGAGATGATGGAAATGTCCGGAATCTGTCCAGTACAATACCCTTAGCTGCGTAGTCCACTGGGCCCTCGAAGTGAGACCAGTTCAAAATGAATTTGTAGTTGTATTTTTATTAACGTAAATTAAAATAACCCCGTGTGGCTCGCAGCTGCTGTGTTGGACAGCTGAGGCCTAGAGAGCAGGGGCACCTGTACCATCAGAAAATGCCAGGCCAGTTCTCCCTGGCCAGGCTCATCACTGTCCCCAGGCCCTAAATGCCACCTCCCTCATGGGAAGGTATGGTACATGCTCTACACATGCCCAAATGTGCTTTGCTTCCCCACAGAGAAATGATTTCTATTATTTTTACTTTTCTTTTTTCTTTTTTTTAATTTTTTCTTTATAAAGCCTTTGTTTTGGTTTTTTTTTTTTTTTAGAGCGGTTTTAGGCTCACAGTATAAGAGGAAGATCCACAGAGTTCCCATATACTCCCCCTCCCCACACATGCACAGCCTCCCATTATCAACATCCTCCAAAAGTGGTACAACTGTTACAATGGAGGAAGGCACACGGATACGTCGTAATCACCCAAGTCCATAGTTTACATTAGGATTCCCTCATGTGTTGCACATTCTATGAGTTGGAAAATGTATAATGACATAAATCCACCGTGATAATATCTTCCTGAATAATATCTCGGCCCTAAAAATTCAGCATGCTCCACCCATCCATCCCTCCTTCCACCCTAACTCCAGGCACTCACTGATCTTTTTACTGCCTCCCCAGTTTTACCTTTCCCCAAATGGCATATAGTTAGAATTATGCAGCGTGGAGTCTTTCAGATTACTGTGTAGGCTTCCTTCACTTAGTAATGCGCATTTAAGATTCCTCAGTGTCTTTTCATGGCACGATAGCTCATTTCTTTTTGGTGCTAAATAACATTCCATTGTCTGAGTGTATCTCAGTTATTAATTCAAAGACGTCTTGGTTGCTTCCAAGTTTTGGCAATTATAAATAAAGCTGCCAGAAACATCTGCGTGCAAGCATTTGTGCAGACATAAGTGTTCAACTCCTTTGGGAAAATACCAAAGGGCTTGATTGCTGGATCTATGGTAAAGAGAGAGGTGATCTTTTAAAGGGCCCATTTCTGAAGTAGAATATGTTCTGGGGGGGGGGGTAGGGGGGGCGGGGAATCTGCATTTCACTTTCCTTCCTTCTTACAGAGGAATACATTTCTCAGAGGTTGTTAACAAACAAAATAGAACTGACTTGGTTTAGAATGGGGGTGGAAGTCCTGCCCAGTGGAAACAATGCAGGAAAGAGGTGTCTGTTTAGACCAGCAAGCAGGGGAGAGTAAAGTGTGTTAGGTTTTGTGTTCTAGTCAAAGTCCTTCCTCTTGTTCAGGTTTAGGGCCTAAGCACCACAGGATAACATTTCATAATCATGTTTGTGGTAGTGCCAAGAAAGGCAGAGAGAGAGAGAGAGGCATCAGACACCCACCCTGTCTCCAGCTCCCTGCCTGCAGGGACAATGAGTCACCCCCTCCAGTCAGTTCATCTCTAGTGCTCTGGTTGGTGTGAACACTGGAGGCAACTGGAATTCCTCAGCCCTGACACAGCCATCAGTTTTGAAGTTAGTGCATTGTTGCTTTTCAATGACATTAGCCACTGTTTTGTTTTTTGCTTTTTTTTTAATTTTTTTTATTGGAGTTCAATTTGCCAACATATAGCATAACACCCAGTGCTCATCCCGTCAAGTGCCCCCCTCAGTGCCCATCACCCAGTCACCCCAACCCCCGCCCACCTCCCTTTCCACTATCCCTTGTTTGTTTCCCAGAGTTAGGTGTCTCTTATGTTTTGAATTTTGCTTTTTTTAAAGATTTTATTTATTCATTCATGAGAGACACACAGAGAGAGGCAGAGACATAGGCAGAGGGAGAAACAGGATCCCTACTGAGCAGGGAGCCCCATGCGGGACTCAATCCCAGGACCCTGGGATCACAACCTGAGCCAAAGACAGACGCTCAACCACTGAGCCATCCAGGCGCCCCCATTAGTCATTGTTTATCTCTGTTCTTATGCACAAGAAACGGGTTGGTGATTCATGAAATGTTCAGTTTGATAATGGATCTGCAATATCCATTTTAATGTTTTAAACCGGCTTAAGTCAACTGATAAAACACGCTTTGCAGCTTAGGTAACAATACAGAGCAAACAGGTGAAGAAACTAGACGAGCTCAAAACTGGCTGCTGGATTTGAAAACAGCAGGGAAAGAACTGTCCCCGAGGAGAAGCGGGGGGACGGCCTGGTGGGACCCTGGCCTCCCCGCCTAGCGGGCATCCCAGCTGGGACCCCCCACATGTAGGAGACCAGGCCCAGCCTGGGGGGCTGTCATGCTGCCACTCGCACCCTGGTAGGACTATGGCTGATGCCAGGTTCCAGAGGCCTGTTTCGCGAGGGCGGGGTGCCAGCCTCAGTTTCTTCAATCTTAAAACTCTAGCTGGGGCGGGAGGGCTTTGCAGAGTCGGGGACCTGGTACCTGTGGCCCACCGCACACTCTTCTGCAGGCCTCAGCGAAGCCCCGCGGCTCCCAGATTCCCCAGGTGTGTACGCCTTGGCCCGAGCAGCACAGCACCACAGCAGCTAGCACGGTGTGCATCCTAAACGGAGGTCTTGGAGAAATCCTGCATGACCACGCAATTTTCTTTTGAGTCCTGCATTCCCTAAGACCCTTAGTGTGATGAAATTTCTCTTAAGGGGGTGAAAATTAACATCCCTAATCAGAAAAGTGTAGCACCTCACTGGTCTCTTTGCTGCAGTGAAAAATCACAGGGAGACTCTGTACTAGGTAAGGGCTGTTTACCTCTGTTTGTTCTCCTTTTACCAACCATTAATTTTGGCAAGTGGCTGCCTGGCCTCGGATTAAATCCTGATACACCTGTACCGGCCAGTTACAGACAATGAGACACCGGGGAGGGAGGGGAGGCTCTGGAGGGAAAGGCAGGCACAAAGGCCAGGGGGTGGGGAGGTGGGGAGGTGGGGGTTGGGGAGTAGGGGGGTTGGGGGGTTGTAACCTGGTCCTGGTGCCTGCCATTGGCTTTCAACAATGAAAGGAGAAAGGGAGGTAATGAAGTATGGTAATGAAGGTAATGAGCTGGGAGACGCTCTGGTTACAGGTTCTAGGGACTCTGTTACTTCACACAGAAGTCTGGCATTTATAATCAGCTATCTGTATCACAGAAGTGACTCTCATCCAAATCCTCCTCCCTCCCCTCCTGCTTCCTCCCTGCCCAACCCTCCTTCGTATCAGCCCTAAAGAAAGAGAGATATCAAGGGAACCAACCCAAAAGTGATGAGATCTCACAGTGAGTGTAAGCTTTCCCTTACCCCACAACCTTCCATTCCCAACACATGCAAGACACACACACACACACAGCTCCCTCACACATGCACATACTCCAGTACACATGCTTCTACACTCCTGCACACTGTGGAAATACATGAAGATCATCCAAATGAGAACAAGCAAAGACTGTCGGTTCCAAGCTTTCTATAGCAAAGGAGTCAGCCACCATCACTTGCATTTTGGCAGAGACCCAAAGGCAAGCAGAGGAGTGCGAAAAACTTTATAGTGGAAAAAAAGAGAAGGTTTCAAGTATGCTCTGATAGGAGGCTGTTGGCATGAGGAACTAGAAGCAAGTTCTAATTATTGCTTCTAGTGACTGGTTGAGGGTGTGTATTTGGCTTCTCTCAATTTGTAAAAAAGGAATAAAAGTAGGGGCCATTGTCACAGGGATTATTTGGCTTCCTGGACCAGTTATGAGAGATAGGGCCCATATCTGAGTTGTCTGCTACAGACCATGGGTTACAGTTTTATTATTACCTATATGGTCTGGTCTTTGTTTATATATCGTCTCTCAACACACACCCACATGCATGCTCACATAAAAACTCCACCCACACTGAGACACATGCACATACTTTCTGGGGCTTCTTTCTTTGTCCACATGCTAGGTGGTGGTAGCTGATGGTCTGCAGTGCTTGCTTAATAAGAAGGCCAACCCGCGGACATGGTAGTAGCAAGGGGGGGGGGAGGGATGGGAGAGGGTCTGTAAATCATTCTGAAGCTAATTGAGAGGGTGTAGGGAGCAGGTTAAGGTCCCAAGCTCTGAAAGGAGTGCCCATATAGATAAGTGGGCAGGGCAAGGCTGGGACAAAAGGATTCAACTGAACCCCAGAATGTGCAGAGAGACTACAACCAGGTGAGGGACTAACAGGAATCCTGCTGTGTCTTGGTTAGCTCAGGCTGCCATACAAAATGCCTTAGATTGTGTGGCTGAAACAACAGACTTTTACAGTTGACCTTTGTGCAATGCAGGGCTTAGGGGCATCGAGCCTCCCAATCAAAAATTCATTTATAATTTTTGACTCCCCCAAAAAGTGACTACTAATAGCCTGCCTTATGGATAACACAAATAATCCATTAAGATAAATTTTGTATGTATACTATATACCATATTCTTACACTAAAGTAAGCTAAAGAAAAGAAAAATATTATTAAGAAAATCATGAGGAAGTATGAAACCAGAAAAGACCCTGAATAGCCAAAGTAATACTGAAAAAGAAAACCAAAGCGGGAGGCATCACAATTCCAGACTTCACACTATATTACAAAGCTGTGCTCATCAAGACAGTGTG